CATAAAATCTTGATAAAATTAAAGTATTTTCATGTAGATTTTAATCTGTCAAACCTCCAAAAAAAACGGCCACTGACAGGGACATTAAAAAAGGCTGCTGTTTGCAGTTATTTTGTATGTGTTTTGTTAAAAAAAGTCTTTTTAAAAGAATGGCCTCTGTATAAAGGTGGTGATCGTTATTACAGGTTCGACTATATAAAGATCAACACATAAAAATACTAAAATATCCTTCATCAAATGGTTTTGTATAGTCAAAAATCTTAATTTTAATCAAGACTTTAAGGATTTTAATATGAAATTAATACACTAAAAGCTAAAAATATCCTTCATCACACACAAAATCTTGATAAAAATAGAGCTTTTTCATACGAAATGAATGCTATAGGAGCAGCTTTTAAAAGTACAAATTACCATTTCCTATTGTTTCAAATCTAGAAAGAATTAAAGAAAGAAAAATAAAGTAAGATAAATTTTCTTAAATTCATTTTTATTTTGCTCAATATGCTTAATTCTTAAAATTAATTAGTTGAGCGATTGTACTGTACTTCATAAAAAGAATTAAATTAGTTTGAAAGGTGTGTAGCCTGTTAGAAAATTATTGCATGGGTTAGTCCATAGTCCGAACTACTTGACTTTTAAACTTTATATACTAAAAATGTCGTGACAAGCCATCGTAATTCTTATTTTATAACATAACATTTCGTTCATATCTTCAAGAGATTTGCATGAACATTAACTCACTTACTGCATCAATTATTATAGATTATGTAAATTGAGAGCGTGGATCTTATCCTTTAACTATAAAAATTCATTTTTTTTAGAAAAAGGAAATTCCCAAATTAAAGTTATAATTAGAGCTAGAAATTCTTAGAACTTGGTGAATTTTTTCGTATAGAATAAATGGAAGTAATGTGATATATATATATGCATACAATAACTGTAAAGAGGTGTGTTTTATAATGAAATTATGGTTTAAATTTTCTAAAAATTTATATAATAGATAAATTTATATATGAAAATTTTATAAAAATAGAAGAGTTCTTAAATTAGGAACGAATTATGTAAGAATGAACAGTAGAAAGTTGCATAGTTCGGTGAAATTCGAAGTACAATTAAGGATAATTTCACTAGGAAAATTTAGAAAAATTCGAAGAAATATTATAATTTTTAGTTCTTTAATTTGTTTTCTAACATTTTATTACATTTATAAACTTATTTATTTCTATTTTAGGAATTTTTAACATTTTTCTAGCTAAATAACGATATGCTGTTTACGAGACGACGTCAAAATTGGTGACATTTAGCATGGAAAAAGAATACAAAATACACAAAAACTTTTAAAAAATTAACAAATATTAAATTTTTTCATTTTTATGGCTTGAAATTTATAAAAATGAGTAAAAAATTAACATTTTAATCATAAATACAAGTAGAATTTAATAGAATTCTGTTAAGAAATTGTATAATTTTGTTTCATTAAAATTGTTGAAAACAGAAGCTGAATTACTAAATAATTTAAGCTTTCTTGTACGAAAATTCGAAATAAAAATAAAAACAAAATTGTTATTTTTCATTTATTTAAGTTTAATTATAATAAATTAATAAAAACTTATTTACAATCCACGTCAAGTTTGATAGGAATGCTAAGAGGAATTTGCTGCTAGAAAAACCAGTAGAAACGGGCTTAAAACTTGATTTAATCAGTAAAAAAATACTCATTATTCATAAAAAATTCGCACTTAAATATAAATTTATAAATTATCTTCGAGTTATAATTATAATTTAATTAAATTTATCGAAATATCTTTAATTTATCAAGCATAGAAGTCGTACTTTGAATAACTCTTTACACCTCTCCAAGCATTCGTTTAAGTCGTGTTTCTAGTTAAATTAATTATTAAGGATAATGTTTAATTAAATTATAAGCAAATATAAGCTTTAATTAAACAATTTATGCAAGAATTTTATAAGTAAAAATCATTAAAAGGATTTAATTTAATTATTTTATCTTGAGTGTTAGTGTACGTCAGTATACATGTTAGTATAGTCTATGTATACATGTTATCATGTATATACTGTATATATACAAGTAATTAAATTAGATGAAGGACATTTATAGTTTCGACATTAGGAACCAACTTTCTAAGCATTTAACTTCGCATTTTTCGATTCCCAAAATAACTAAACTCGGTTAAGAACTTAATTACGGTCAAGTTTATTTTAAAACAAATCTGAATTTTGCTTCGTAAAATCATTTTTAAAAATGAATAAATATACTTAAAATATATTAAAATTAAATATTTATATGTTTCTTTTATAGTTTTATTAGCTTTAAATCGAGTTATAAACTGTTTAATTTAGTTAATTCGAACGGATTTTATCGTTAAAAGCGTAGAACAAATTAAACTTATTTTTCTAAATATTTGTAAAAATATCTTTTAAAATAGCTTAATATTTAATAAATTTGAATATTTCTGCAGCTATTTAAGCATTTAAAAGGCTTTGAAATTTATATTTTATTTATTTTTTAACTATTAAATATGTTGTGATGAGCGAACTTCCTATAGCAATTTCTTACATTTAAATTTTATTTATTTTATTTATTTTTAAGTTAAAGAATTTTTATGCTTAAATTCTATTTAAAAAATTAACTAGAGATCTTATAAACTAATAAATAATTTTTTTATTATATAAATTTATTATTTTATTTAATTATTAAGTCATAAATTGCATTGAAGTGCGCTAAATTTATACATGAATCTGAGAGTATAGCAGCGAATTAATTTAATTAATTTTTTAAAAAAATAGCAGCAATTTCATTGAAATTTTATTTTAAGAATTCGCTAGAAGCCTTCTAAAATCAAAAATAATTTTTTTTAATTCCAGAAATTTATTAAATGCTATTAAAAGAATACATTATTTTCTCCAGCTTCTCCAGTGATGCTAACTATGAAGTTATCATAGGAGAAGCGATTTATAAGTCATTTTTTTTAGTTAAATTACTGAAGGATTGGTTATTTTAATTATTTAACTTAATTTTTAAACGAATTAATTAAAAATTCGATAAAATCGCGTAAGATACGCTTGTATTTAACAGTTGTTCTGTTCGTCCCCCCTCTATTTTTAGTACTCAATTGAGCTTAAATATAAACAAAATTTACAAATTTTAAATGAAATGTTTACATTTTTATGTAATTCTAACGTAACAAAACTTCAAAAGTGTTCTAACAAATCGAGAATTTATATTATTCACTGCAAATATTCTCCGCGTGATTCTGTTACGTAACGACAGCTTCATGTTATTTGATACGATCAAATTTTAGTGTTTTATGTTTACTTAATGCTAAATAAAGTTATTAAATATTCAACATAAGCCCTTATCATTTGAGAAATGAGTGTATAATTAAAAAATAATACTGATTGGCAAGATAAAGCTATGGTGTTTATTATATGTTAGGGCCTACCCATCTAACTTCATAGAAACAAATTTTTATGGCCTTTTATAACATACAAATCTCGAATAAAGCCTTTAGGAATTAATATTTATGGTAAGAAACTAACAAGGCCCTTTGTCAGATTAGGATTTATAATTGTTGTGGCCTTACGATTAACAGGTTCTTTCCCTCTCCAGAAATGATAATAAATTTAAAATCATGGGCCTTAACTTAGCTTAGGACCTCATGTTACAGTTTATGGCTTCTTTGCGTGAGGCCCTAAGCTGTAGCTTGTATATCCGGTATATGGATGCGTAGAAATCCCTCGACAAACTAAGGCTTACACAAACAGTGTGATAAGGAAAACGATTTGAAACTAATAAAGTTTACAATAGCACATTAGTAGGCCCTTTAATAATAAATTAATTAGGCCTAGGCTAACAAACTGATGAGCCTCAAGGTTGCATATTAGTAAGGCCTTATAGTAACAAACCACTAGTCTATGACAATAAACAATTAAAGCCCGTGGTAACAGACTAAAAAGATCTACAGAAACAAGTATTAAAAATTCAAATCCCATAGCAACAAACAAGTAGAAGTCTCAAAAACAAACCAATAAAATTCATTTTAACAAACGTTAGCAATAAATCCACAGGACCCACAATAACAACTTCTAAAGGCCCATAGAGACAAACTAGAACATCTGGGGATGTTGTTATTTTTGTCTGTTATTAATGTTTAGTTAATTACATATAAGAAGCAGGTGCGAGTGGTTTTTCAAGAAGAGCTCCACACATAGGGATAGCCAGTGACCCCAGCGAGGGGCCCAAAAACCGTTCACCCCGGTGCGGGAGAAAGAGAGGAATGAGAAAGAACCCCCGCACCAACTCTGAATAGTTATGGTGACACTGCCTTGACACTTGTCACTCAACCTTATCCCACAAGACACGTCCTTGTTGTTGCGTTACAATTTGGCCATCGTTCCTTCCATACCAATACAAGGACACGACTATTGGCATGAAAAGATCGATCCCTCTTTCAAAAATCAATGTTGAGATGAAGAAGAAGAAAAACACGTAATAATGTATTGTACTAGGGGGTGTCGGACACATGTATTAGACGTTAACATTTGAAGAAAGTGGGAAAATTCGACCTTTAGAATAGAGAAAGTAAAAGAGTAGTCTGGATACTCGATAGGGGGTGACTTTTCCCTTCGATTGAATTCACTCGATCATCGCTTTGTGTTTGATCATTTCCCTTAGCTTTGTCTATATAGACAATAGAGTCCACGCGCTGAAAGTCGATACCTTTGGTCGGCAAACGTCCTCCAGAGTGTCGACTAACAACTCCAACTAAGTCAACATTTCGAAGTATTGTCAGAGCCGAGCAGGCATTGTTTTTCTCTAATGAAAACAATCGAATGCTCTTTCGTATTCTTGTCAAAGGGCAAAACATCTGTGCAAAAATATATCCAATTTGAGAGGATCATCTATCAATTCTATCCCATCTTACTACGACGATTTTGCAATAAAATTAAGGCGAATTAAAAAAAAATGAATATCCCACCTGACGGAAGTGACGTATTCGCCGGAAGTGACGTCGGAGTTGTTGGTTTCCTGTCTCGTCCGCTTGACCTGAAAAAAAGCGCAAAGTATACGTAAAGATGCTTACAAAAAAGTAAAAGTAAAATATTCTGTATCAAGTAAAGGTTACAAAAGAGGCTCCATCATTCTTCGACCTTAGTTACCAAATTAGTGACGAAGCCAACCAATTTTTGGCAGAAAGAAGAGGAGGAGGAGATATACCTCCACCCACCTGCTTGACAGGACTCGACGTTATAAAGGAACGACAGATATAGCATCTGCAATCCCCGTCTTTTTCAGGGTCAAGCTTCGAGTGATACAAAACTTTTCTGGAAAAGAAGAAGAAGAAGGAGACGAATGCAATTTTCTCTCATTCCTTCTAGCGTAGGAGGAAGGGGGAGAGTAACGCGATCTAAGGGAGCCATTGCAACAGAATTCGGATCATTTCGCTTTAAGGAACACGAGTGAAGGTTAATTGCTGCATAACAGCATTAACGTCAACGTCATTAAAATGTCTTATAACAAAACTTTCGTATAACACCCCCTCCCCCCCGAGGTATTCGTAAGTAAGCGGTAGAATGGGAGATGTTTGGGTACACATTAATGACAATGGACAATTGCAAGTTTGAAATTGCATACAAAAGCTTCATTGTCTCTTATAGACGTGATAGAAAATTAACCGTTCTCGCTATCTTAGAATCCAAACTTTCCTTTGTGAATTCAACATCCGAGAGACAGATTTGAGGCTATATTTATTGGGTTTAAAGTTTAAAATATTCATTCTCTAACAATAGAATGCGTTTTAAAGAAGATGGATAGCCAACGTATCCATTTATTCAACACCTATTTTCAGCTTTCTAGCATCACCCTAACTAAGAAAAAAAAAAAAAACGAATTCTCGTGGAAAATATATTTAAATAATTTATATTTAAATAAAATTTTGATTTATTTTTATTAAAATCTCTTTAATAAGCCGATAATCGCTGATATTTACCATTAAATCGTATTTTAGTTTTATAGAATATAATTTGCTATTTTCTCGTTAAAAATAGCAAAAATATAATTAAATTACGTTATTAAATAAATCATAAACGAATTAATTTAACAATAAAACATTTTGTTTACATTTTAAAACAATATTTTTGACAAAATATTAGTGCAAAAGCTGTAAAATTCCAGTAAAAAGATATCAATTAATTCAAGCTTATAGACCTATTTTATTGACAAAATTCCTTAAATTCATAAAAAATTTTAAAAGAAAATTTAAGCACATATGATTAAAATAATAATTCGTGTATATTATATTTATATTTATATAAATTATTAAGGATTTAGGCTTTAGAATAATGCATTATAAAGTCTTCCGGCTTCACGCTATTTTAATGGTAAGTATCTTATGACTTTTCTCTTATGACTGATATCTAATGGCTTTATTCTTATGCGAAGTGTCTTATGACTGTATTCTTATGACTATTTCTATGTCTAGACTATTCTCAACTCACTAAAATCGACTATAATGCGTACAAACCCACTAAATACATAGACTCTTCTGTAGCTGAGAATCAGTCATGCAACATCAAATATAACATAAATTTATAATAAAACGATTAACTTATAACGTATAATTTTAAAATATAACAAATCAATTGCAAAAATAACTTAAAAAATAAGTCAAAAATAGTTATTTTTACGAAGCATCTTCACGAAGTCATCACTCTTATTGAAGCATCTTTGTTAAGTGTTTAACATATTTAATATATAAATAAATATTATTAAAATAAATTTTTAAAAATGAGGGAAAAAATACTTAAATTTTCCCTACTCATTGTTTAGAAATGTTTATTTTATTTTGCAAAAAGAACGGGAAAAAATTAAGGAATTTGACCCGAGTTTATCCCCATAAAATAAACAAGTATAAATTCTAACATTCAATTTACAATTATTTATTCCAAGGTACTACATAAATCTTTCATTCTTAAATAATAAATTACAAATATTTAAAGATTTTTAAAAATTACTTTTATTTTTTTTAAATTCTTCAATTTTTATTATAAAATTTTGTATTCTTTTCTAAATTTTTGATGTAAATATTAAGCTAATTTTATGTTATAAATTA